AGGAACACGAATACCAACTGCACATCCTAATTCAAAACACAGGTCATATTAATGTGCGTGTGTAGATCAAAGTCACGAAGTAAATATGTGAGCAATGGAGCTACATCTGGATTGAAATCCTGTATGTTCCCCACGTATTCAACATTCAATAAGTTTAATGAACCGCGTGGATTGACAATTGATGAAAAATCACTAACGTCCGGCGTTCAATATAACCCGGCTTAGCTACGACGGTTGAACTAACGATTCACGTTATCACGGCCCATACGACGACGCACGTACTACCGCAAATGAAGAAGACAGGAAGACAGGGAATCTTCAGCCAAGGGTATATTTGATCTCAACCAAACGTTTGTTAAATACACTGGAAAACTCCACCGTATTTATAATGTTCGAGCGAAGGCTCATATAGTGTTTAGAATAATAAAAAAGACATTTTTGGGTTAATTGTGGTATTATCCGAACACAGTTACTCGAACGCACTTGCAACACAACGGCAAACGTCAGTGAGCACTTTAGATCGGTAGTCACTGCAGTAGTCCGAAGACTGGTCTCTGAGTACCGTATGTTTCTTTTTATTGAACGCGCAACGCTATAACGTAATTGTCCTTGTGTGGAATGGTCACCGTATATATACGCGTGATGAAAGTTTTTGATTCAGTTAATCAAACTGATAATTCATTTAACGTCACTGCTGACCGCTTGTTGTCACATACCGAGCAAAGCCGTGAAAACACACGTGAATATGGTTAGCGCGAACATTAGTTGGCTTCTTGTTAACACACATCGATCTGGGTCAAGGCCGCCTCATATACGCTATTATACACTATCTTTGTGGCGAGATTCCACACTAGTGTTTCTGTGTTAATGACCTGTTAGTTAAATTTTTGCAGTCTCAATCCGCCATCCGGATTCGCCTGACAAGTTGATTAATGGGCTAATCTTCCGTACGCGCTATCTGGGTTCTACGCAGCTGCAATTCGAGAGACAACCGACTCGAAATTCTCGCATGTTTCAGGCTCAAGAGGCTGTCAATCGAATCAAAGTAAGACAGTTTTGGCCATTCGTGTTTTATTCGTATGGTTTATTTGGTCGGTTCTGTCAAGTTTTAGTACGATACGATCTATCTTCTACAATGTCTAAAATGAAATTGTTGGCATCCATTATAAACGTTCACTCTCAAATGTATATTGGCCCATTTGATGATAACCTTTTAAAGTTGGTCTCAGGTCATCTTGACGTACGTAGGAAGTAATGCGGTCACTGTTTTCTGTTTTTGTACCATGTTTTCACTTTGCGCAACCGCTTAAGTTTACGTTTCACGTGAGGAGCTAGGAAACTCTTGCGGCTGGTTCCATTTTTGGTGCTTCACGGAAAACCGGTCTGTTCGTGCTGGAGCCTAAACTTTCATCAGCTTTTAAAAGAAGTCACTCTTATCGTCTAGACTAAAGAGTCTTGTGAGTTGGATTAATATCCATTCTGCGAAACAGTTAACTCTTGGCAGGCTCTTTTTACAGCTTTGGTAACTGTCGGGGATATCACCAGCCCCCCGAAATTTTTGTGTGACAAGGAGACAGACAAAATACACTGCCAGCGACCTTCATCGTTGCTATAGTCGTGTACTTCTCCAGTCTCCACGATCGTCCTCAGCGGTCGTGACAACTTTTGTTGTCATCCTTACTACGCGCCTAGATTGAACTATCTGGACTTTCATCTGGTCCATTCCCTTTGACCTTGCTTGTTACTAGTCACAAACCCTATAAATACGAACGAGTTGGTGACCATGTTGTCTTCGGGCTGAGCTACGGAAAGAAGCTCCTGTTTGAAGGCCAGTCTTCTTCTCTGTGTCCATGCGGTGCCCTCGGGTGGAGGGGCGGTGACTAACTGACCGCGTATAGTCCGTACTCGTTGTTCATTACCGTTATTCATCGTGCTGTCATCCACCGTTTCATTGATCGTTGTTTCGCTTACGCGCTCGTAGGCCGTACAACCAGTCGCAACAGTAACGGTTTGTGTCCTGACTGCGTGGGGGGTCCGGAAAAATTATCGTTCACTAGGTTTTTGTTCACACGCCTGTGTATCAACGGCTTTGTAAAGTTAGTATAACTTACTCGCAGGGGCATCTCGGAACTGCTGCTGACGAGCAAAATATGATCACTGTCAAACCAGCAGTTTTAGACTACTTTCAAAGCCAGTTCCATCAACTTTTGGGCTTGGATTCCAAATCCTCAACGCAGGTGTACACTGTCGCTTTAGTTTCGGCAGACATTTTTCCAACGGGTCTTTCGCTACCTGTTGCCTAATGAGAACAGCCACTATCTCAATTTCGCTAGGTTATTCATCCCGCTCTTTTCTCGGTTCCCCATTTGTTAAGAGGTTTATGTGCACATGTATGGCGCTCGCTCCAATCCCAGAGGTCAAAATGACTAAAAATTAGAGCACATGCCCCGAAAACTGCCGCAAGTGAAATGACCACATTTCTTCCTTCTTAAAAATAAACACGGCCAAATAGTGACGTGCGCTTCGTATATTGAAATGTAGTTGCCCAAAGTTTCTGTGTTGTTGTTACGGGCTGCCTCACGACACGATTACTATGCTGTGTTGTGATCACGTGCTTGTATATGACTTAAACCTCACGATTCCTCTCTTGGCCTATTGTGAGAGCAGTTTCGTTGAGCATGCACGTTATTCGTCTGACCGTATGCTCTATGGTTTCCTTCTCTTTTCAAAAATAAAAGAAACTGAGCAAAATGTTTTATTACTGATAAGTAGTTCGGCAGATTTGATAATTTAGAAGAGATCCATTTGCGAAAAGTCTGGACTTCGGCTGGATTCGAACCAGCGACGGAAACATCATGCCCAAACGCGTTAAGTGCTCTACCAGCTGAGCTACGAAGCCACGTTTTAATCTGAAAGCATAGGTCTTGTAAGTTGTTCAAACCGAGCTCAACGTGCTCAAAAAACACAGTTGTGAGAGGTGTTATGATATTTTGGTTCGTCACTTCGGAGCATCTATCGAGGATGATGTAGGTTGTGTCACAGTTGATGACAGTGTTGTGACCGCAAAAGATGCTTGGCCTGAGAATTCGTTTATTGCGCAAACTCCCGTACAGGTCATGTCAAAAATTGGACCACAAACGGGTACACTCATTTGCACGGGAGACATGAATTCACATACACTGGGTGACAGTACGTTGTCATTCGCCTTGGTGGAACTTCTGCCACAGCGCGTTGTCGTCCGTCGTCTTCCTGGCGTTCAGAGTTTGTCCTTTTGTTCCTGAATATCGCCTGTGGGTAATACACTACTTGTGAGTAGTATATTGCTCACAACGAAACTGCCTATCATACAACAAAAGAAAGTGGAGTTTCGTTGTCAAACCATTTCGATATTATAAACATTGGAAGTCGCTGATTTTTCGTAACTCTTTCTACGTATTTACATCAGTAGTACCAGTATGTTGATTTGACCTTCGCTGGTCAACTCTTGAAATATCATAATCATTTAATGGGTTAGATGAAAGTGTTGTTGGCGCTAGTCGGACTGCTTAAGTGAACTATCCCATATATTTATTGCCAAGAAATGCGAAGTCAGAAAAAGCTCGCTCTTTATGGGACATCGTTTACTTCAGGTTGTCCAAAGTAGAACCACCTTGAAAGTTGTCTGTTTTTCTTAAATTTTAACAAGCAAAAAACCGAGTTTGTGCTTTCCACTGTCGAAATGACAGTTTGTCCGGGGTCTTCCGTAGCTGAGCTATAGCAATGCCTTTAGCAGTCTTACCCCACGGAAACAAATGTAGTTAGCCGATGTCTGTATGACATACATGTCTTCTCTGTGTTTTTAATGCTGCACCCTCCACTGCCCTTTAATTTTTCATGTTTACTTTCTAAAGTATGTAAGTCAATTTGCACGTATTCAAACTGACGACTTCTTTATTGTCGGTTTCATATCGAAACTCTGCTGTTTGTCGTCGAAAAGTTTTTTCGCAATGCGTTGTTGGCTAGCTACCGCATGTTTGTACATCACAAACCTAACGCCCTCGGGCTTGGGTAAAAGATGTCAGCATATTTTCATAATAAAATCTATGGTTTTATTTGCTTGCTCGTCGCTTCGAACATATTTACGCAATAAAACGAAACTACTAACTTCACTATGTTGTAAAGTAGCATGCTATTCTGTTGTGTTATACTGCTTCCGATCTCAGTCATATCGTGCTTCTTTCTCTATTCGTGAATTTGTTTGTCTCCTGCAGGCACCTGATGGCGAGAATCAACCGAGCGTGCCGGTGGAACTTTTCGTCTCCACTCAGAGGCTGATGCTTTTGAACAGCAATCTTCAGGTGATTAGCTTTTGAAATTGTTACGTTTTGCAAAGCCCTGACCACACGGTCTGTGCAGTGGCTGAACCTGTATGAATATGAGTGACGTTCAGCCATGATTCTGTTGTAAACCCTCCTAAACGATACGCTGGTTCGATCTGAGTATAGTGGTGCGCTCGATAAAATCGAATTGTCGTCCCGGTAATAATTCACACGAAAATCTCAGTCTCGAATAGTACCGCGACTGCCCCGTATTCGCTCCCTAGGCAAGCCAAAAGACGCGTTCAAAATAAGAAGGTTTGTTCCACTATAAAACGTGTGCAGGCTAGGGCGACAAGTACAAATTATTTATAGGGCACGTCATGAACACATTCCCACCACAGCATGAGAAAGAGTTAGGACCACTCACTTGCATAGTGGTATAAAAAGTCTCAACCGATTTGAACAGTTCCGCTAGTTCGGACTGGGTCGAGTGGTTTTTTCTTCTTTCTCACGATGGAGGCGCCCTTGGACGGTCACAGGGTGGGCGGCCTAACAGATTCATCGACCGCGCTGAATATGATATGTAGACTCCATCAAACTAGTGGAGTTTTAATAAGGTCATCATCAGGTCAAGGGTAGCTTGATCGGATGAAGCTTGGTTAATGCTGAATATATTGCTCCTATACGGAAGGGAGGTAATACGGTTGTGATGGTGTATGATACGGTATGAACAGCTGGCGAATTGCGGATTTTTTGACTTGCCTGGCCTGCAGTTAGAGACTTGGTGATTGATAGTAGTTAATCTGGGACAAAGATGAATGAACCAAAAGTGGTAAGCTGCAGTACGTAGGAAAAGAACATATTTCTACAAATTCAATTCAAAGATGACCACTTGGCTAACAACATTAGCCACAAATTGATGTCGGCGTTGCAACGCATCTACCCAGCGGCCCAGCTACGCATCCCACTAAGCACTAGGAGCTTGGCTCTTCATAGCGGTGATACACAACCGATCGGTCTGTCTCCTACGTAATGTACCAGTTCAGTTGCAGTTGCAATAACGTCTACATAGGCAGGGCAGATCGGCGTTTGCATCAGCGTATGGCTGAGCACATTCCTAAGTGGTTGTCAATGGCAATATCAAAAAACGACCTATCGGCTTCATCGATCGCCAACCACATTTTAGCAACCGGTCATCTAGTTGACCCTGTCAAATCGTTCAAGATATTGTTACACAATCGCAACCCGAAGCTGTTGGCGGTTAGCGACCCAATGCTAATCAGACAACATCGGCCAGTTTTGTGTGCACAGAAGGCGCTGACGCAGTCCATCTCCTTGCCGTGGAATTGATTTAACTATTAACGCGTGAAAGGTCAGAACTATCTGGTTGGTTCGTTCAATTGTTGTTGCTATACCCAGTTTGTATATAATTTGCTAGTTTTACGTTGGCGACTGATGAGAGTAAATCGAAATGTTGACATCTCACGATATGTCTTCTCTATGTTTGTCCGCTGATTTGACTGTTTTTTTAGCCATTCGTTACTTTCAGGGTAAACCTTAATAGGTACATCCTATGTACTGTTTAACGCATCTTCTCGAGTCTGGGCGATGTCCTAGCCGTGCTACATCTATTTTATCGATGATCAGGCCATTCAGGTGAATAATCGTTAGTACGTGTTGACAAACCATAGGTTAACTGAACACAGCCAGCATCGTCGTTACTTGGCACTAGCCGTTTCCATGTGAGGTCAAACCAAAGCAACTTTGTTCAATTCTTTCATCCATTCGCTTGAACCTTTTCCTAATAACACCACTCTTATTTTCGATTTTCAATAGGAAATTCTCATTGACCACGAACTCACCATGGTCTCCTATGTTGCCGATATGGGCGAATTGTTTGTGCTGATGGCACGACGACCCTTGAACCAAACTATATCTGAAGCCAACCTTGGCGATTCACAGGCCTCCCAACCAAACCGATCTGAATCGGGCAGTGTGACCTCTGACTGTTCTAACGAGTCAGCCGATGGTGTACCTCACGCTGTTGTGCAAAATGTGGTTGATCGGGCTAATCGATCCAGCACCAAACTTATTTGTCATGTACTAGAATGTCCCGAGGTGAGTTCGAGTAGACGAATATTCGCAGTGTCATCATTTTACATTACATCGCAGTATCTTACTGTAGTATCGATTGCAATCGCACATGTAACAATCCCCATCCCCGAGTTTACATGCGGGGATAACAGACACGGATAGATATTGAGAGTAAGCGATCATCACGATTTCCTTCAACATTTATTCAGGCAAATGCGTTTAATCCATCCTGTACACATGACATGACCCATACTATTAGCATTCACATTCTGTGACGCCTACGCAATCGATGTTTCAATATGGTCAGTGCATGTCTGCATTCCGATGCATTTTTGGTATCATTCGATTGTGGTTATGACCAAACGAAATGAAAGCTAGCTGATTTCTGCGACCGCCCGGACAATTTGGATTACCCGTTTCGTGATGCGGGGTGGTTCTAAGCTTTGCTGCTTTGTTGGATGACTACTGAAGATAATGGACCATTTGCCGTTCTTGCCCCCAACTAATTTACCAGATTCATCTCTAGTGATTCTTAATTCGCTCATCTAGATGATCCGGTTCCCTGTAACATCGTGCCACGCACATCGCTTCATGGTTTACTCACTTATCGCCTCTTTACACCTTCCCGTTAAAAGATATACAATTATGGGACACGTGGATTGATTCTGCGTGCTAGTTTTGCGTTCTCGCATAGTGTCTAATCAGAGGCTATGAAATTCACTTTCGCTGTCATCAGAATTCATTTGTCTCCTTTCTTAGTGGCCACTCTATGTCGATCATTTTCATAAAGATGTTCACAGCTCTCATGCTTTTCACAAGACGAACGTGCAAGTTTCTTACTAATACTGAAAGTACATTCTATCTGTCACACTTTCGTGCGTATCGCATGTCTGCAACTTTCCGAAATATTCTAGGTTTCGCTGATAGATGTGGCAGGTTTCTAATTTGGAGGCCATTCTCCTGTGAAGGATTTGGGCTTCTGCTGGACACCACCTAAATAGTGGAATCACGTGACTCTACACAACAGGTGTCTTACCGGACGAGTTGTGGAGTGTAGAAGGTTTACATATATATTCAGTTTTTCTCTCATTCTGTCGCGTTACATAGAATGCACAAACATCCGGCGTTGGTGAATTCGAGTGTTACCAAATCATTTAGTGGATTTCTTGAGACGCAGTTAGATGGGCGGATTATTGAGTTCAGTCGTGGACTTTCGGAGTTCTCGTAGTCCAGCCGCATATGGGCATGCCGTTCTCGTCGTTAGTTCGAATCCAACCCAAGTCCAGATTTTTCAAAGTTGAGTCTCTTTCAGGTTATTGTCACAATTAAGCGAACTCAAAAGTGCACCGAAATGCGGGTATGCTTTTACTTTGTCGAACCTGGGTTGCTTAGACGTCACAGAGTGAATGAATCACTTTATTTGGATGATACAAGCTGACCGTGCAACTGGGATAAACATTTAGAACAATCTTGGTTGTCGATCATTTGTGTTATTTCTTTTTGTTTT